AAAAAAAAAAAAAAAAAAAAAAAAAACAAAAAAAAATAACAAAAAAAAAAAAAAAAAAAAAAAAAAAAAAAAAAAAAAAAAAAAAAAAAAAAAAAAAAAAGAGAGAGAGAAATCAGATTAGGAGCACTTTTATCCTAACTACATGAACTACTAAAAGTAAACAAAAGTAGAATTATAACCCCTATTCCTTATCTCACTGACTTAAAATAATTGGGCATTCCAAAAATCTTTTCAGTATGTTCAGGGACTTTAAAAAATTGTGGTAATGTGGGGAAGGTAAAGTATCAAATATTCCTTACCTGTCATCTGCTATGAGAGGCATCAAAAAGTGCTCCAGAAGTTTTTAACAAATATTACAAGACATTCGGTGAGGAATTTTACGGGGGGGAAAGGGAATGTTCCATTATCACCAAATAAGAGCATTTCAAGCTCTTCAGAGCCCGTATCAAGAGAAATTTGGGTCTCTCTAGAGCCTTATCCTAAAGTGCTATGAGGTGGAAGAGGTGAGAAGCCACATCTTGCAACTCTACACTGACAGCCAGTGCAATTCTGAATTGTAGGCAGGCCCTGCTCTGCCAGAACCCCTTCAGGCTCTGGGACCAGAGGTCACAGCAACAACATGTGGGGAAGTTCTCAAACCAGATCAGAGTCCAGAAAGCAGGCACAAGCTTCAGCTTTATTATTTTCCAAGCAATGGTCATCTTTGCAGGGGAATGATATTGCAGCTGAAAAAGAAAAGAGTAGAAGGAAACATGAAAATCTGAGTTCTCAAACAGGAGATCTGACATGGGATGAATCATACCATCCATAACTCTCCTCCATTGTTTTTCTCTACCAGACAAACCAGCCCCTGAGACCTCCCCCTCCCATGGAACTCGACTCCCTGCACTCCTGTGCAAAGCCTCCAGCTCCCAGTTTGTCACAGGGCACAGTATCACACCGAGGGCAGCGCCCAGAGCTGGCCCTGCTCAGGAAACGTGTTCTGAGCTGCTGAAAGCCTCATCCCCTCTAGGAAGTGAAACATCAGCTCACCCCAGGAGGCCCTTCCCAGCCCAGCGCTTCGGAGTCAGCCCCACATGCACCCTCCTGCCACCGCGGAGCACAGTCACGCTCAGGGGTCTCTGAAAGGGTGGGAAAAAAATTAAAATTAAAAGAAATATTTCAGTTTTCCATCAGCAAGTCAACTCTCTTCTTCCTTCTTTCCCTGAAGCGCCAGAACATTAAGCCCAGGGAGCTGTTCTGCAGGAGCACCCATTCCTACTCCCATGGCTGTAACTGGAAGAAGAGAGTGCTTTGTGTGGAGACATCTCCAGGAAATTTCTCACTTCCACTGTAAAGCACTTGAGGCTGTGGCAGATTCTTTGGCCAGTCCACAAGGGTGGCACAGCAGCGCTGGCTGCTGCTGCTGCAGGGACAACATGATGCTCACAGCCAAGAGCACACACCTCTCAGCTCTCCCATCCATCAGCAATTAGCTCAATGCTGCGAGAGAACAAGGCTACAACAGCACAGACTGGATCTGACACCGTTTCTGATGTGGAAATGATGATTCCAGAGATCCAAGTTCCACAGAAAAAGCTGTGGCTAACAGAGCCAGGCAGAGAAAACAGTCAAGGTAGAAATGAGCTCACCCCCTCGCTGTGCTGCACCACTGTGGCAACGTTCTGCAGGTTCTGGAAGTTGCTTGCGTTGACAGAACCAAACTCCACGATCTCGTCATCAACCTGAAGTCCCTGGACAGAGAAAGAAGAGAGATGAGGATCTGCATTTTCCAAAGAGAGGTAATAAGTAACACAGGAGCACCCCCTTTACCCAACAGAGTGCTGCTACGATACTTCTCACCACTCAGGCAGCTGAACTACATCACTCCCTCTCCATGCCCATAGGAGGAGGGAAGTACTCATTCCTCTATCCTATTTTATGGGAAGAGAAATACCAAGGCTAGAATGGTCAGTGAGGTGTGGGATGAGCTGTGTGGTGCCACGATACAGCTGAGAGAGCACTCCCCTCGTTCCTGTACAGCACTAGTCTATTCACAGGACACCCCTGTGTGACCAAACAAAGGGGGGACACCCTAAACAACCCTGCAGCTTGTTCCCACTAACTAACAAGAGACAGACCAAGCCATCAGCTACACTTTCTCTCAGGCTCCAGACAAAGCCTTCCCCAGGAGTTGTCCCCAACCTACCGAGACACTGGCAGGGGATCCCGGGGTCACGGCGTTCACTTTGGCAAAGGGCTGTGGCAGGCTCTGGTTCTGGCTCATGGCCTCTGCCAAGGCCTCTGCCTCATCCCTGGCTTGCTTCTCCTTCTCCCGGGCATGCAGCTGGTGCAGAGCCTCCTCCACCTGCTTCATCAAGGCCTTGTGATCGTTCTGCAGACCTGTGGGTGACAGACACCGTGAGCGCACGGGGAGCAGGAGTGGGTTTCACCCAAGGCCTCTCAGCCCCTCTGCAGAGCCACGTTCTGGGTGTCTCTCTGAGCTCAGCAAGAACCTCTGCTGGTCCTGGTCTATCTGCTGGGGCCTCCTGCCAGCCCAGCAGATGTTTATCAGCCAAAATGAGACGCTGAGAAACTACAAATTTTGGTAAACACGCAAGGGCAGCAGGGCCGGGAGTGCCACCATCCCTGAGTGAAAGCTGAAGTTGTCTTTCCATGAAGTCACCTACTTTTACACATGAAGAACAAAACCCCTCCCCAAAGACAGGGCACAGGGATGTAACAAATGCCAGGCTGCTTCTTACTCAAAGTTTATCCCACAAACACCCCAGAAAAGCTTTGCTGTACTGCACAGAACCCAAAGAGCTCCACAGCAGAGGCAGAATTTCCACGCTGCTGCCGCAGCAACATGTGGACAAAAGCGTTTTACTGACTCAGCCGGATCCGGCAGCTCCGGGCACTGAGCAGAACCCCTGGCAAAGAGGCTCAGCGCAGGTAATTTTGAGGAATTACAAGGAGCAGGCTGGAGACGGAGGGGTTTGAGAAAATTAAAGGGTGTAGCCGCCGTTCTGGGGTGTTTACCCAGCGCAGGGGCCGCCACAGAGCTGGGGCCCTCCCGGGCTCCCGCACACACACAGGGCTCCCGCACACACACAGGGTTCTCGCACACCCCCCGGGCTCCCGCACATGCCCCGGGCTCCCGGCCCGTCCCAGCCCCGGGCCCCCCCGCGCCGCTCCCCGCTCACAGATGATGTTGTGCCGCGCGGTGCGCACTTGGTACAGGTCGATGTCGCTGCGGGGGAAGCCCTCGGCGTCCACCAGCGGCTCGTGCATCCCGACGCCCTTTTGCTGCGAGGGAAGACAAGGTTGGGATGGGGCCGGGATGGGGTCGGGATGGGGTCGGGATGGGGCCGGGAGCGCTGCCCGGCCCCTCGCCCCCCCCACCCCGTCCCGCCGCGCCCCCGGCACCGACCCCCTCCAGCAGCTCGTAGCAGGCCTTGATCTGCGCCTCGATCTCGTCCTTCCTGCGCACCAGCTGCTGCACATCGCTGATGGTGACCGGGCGGCCCCCGCCGGGCTCCGCCATGGCTGGGACGGGCGGGGCGAGCGGGTCCCGCAGCGATGGCGGCCGGGACGGGCCGCGGGGCGGGGCCTGAGCGTTGGGGGCGGGGCCTGTGTGCGGGGGCGGGGCCAGAGGCACGGGGTGGGCGTGGCACCGCGCTGGGGACAGCGGTGTCACCGTCACGGGGTCACACAGCGCGGGTGGCGACACGGCGGGGCACAGCAGTGTCACTG